TCCCCCCCCCCCCCCCCCCCTTTCGAAACTGTTTTTTTTTTTTTTTTTATAGTCGTCTTATGGCGGGCGGGCATTAAATACATCCCTTTGAGAACATGGCTATCTTTTTCGTTTTTGAGGAGTCATTATTATGGCGGGGCGGATGGGCGGTCATCAAATCAATCGCTTTGAACATAACTATATCATACATACTTATCAACAAAAATATACAATGTATAAGTTTTGAAGGTCGCCTGCCAATTATTGTCTCAAAATTTCTTTCAAAGCAAGAATATAATTTTATAAGACACTCTTATTTCCCGGCTGGAATAGGGGGCACATTTAATACAGCACTTGCATTAATGCTTCATGTCAAAATATATTCCAAAATATCTAGAGTAGAACATGTACCGGTACACGAAATAATGTAGGCCATGTGGGTTTTTTTTGATAAATGAAGAATAAAATCGTCATCCCCTTTTTTTATTTTCCCGGCCTCAGAGAGAGATTTACGTCTGGTTCTCTAAACATTTTTATAAAAGCAAAATGATTTTTTCGCATAGAGTTTTCCCCTGTCTCTGAGAAAAAAAATGCCCAAATAAAATCTCAGCTCCGAAAAGCCTTTCCAGAGAATGATTGATAGCCGCATTGTTCAAATTGATACAATGCCACTCTTGTTCGTTACAAATATACATTTGGATTCAGCTGTAGGCCACCGAACTTTGAGAACTTGCCGCCAGTAATTGGAAGATTCTTAGATGATAAACAGTGATGATAGTATCTCAGCCAATGAAATGAGCCGGTTCCCGGCAAATAAATATGCCATTGGTTGCTTTCATCACGGACCGTCTGCTTTCAAGAATATGACTTCCTTCAACGCGCAACTGGAGCGATTAGCTATCTGAGCCACAGGTGCATGGCTGCATGCCCATCACATTCCAACCTGGTTGCTTAGAAATACTGTTGCTAGGAGGCTCCCCTGTGATGCCTGGGACTGCGGTTGCGTAGCCAGAAATCTTGTATGTGACTATTTTGAAACCTTGTATGTGAAAGCGGCTCAGCTCAGGAATGCTGCCGCTTTCGGGAAATTTGTGAAAATAGTAAAAATACCAAACAAAAATCGATGGAAAAAGAGATTTTCTGCAAATTAATTCACAGAACGTGATGTTAATTTTCTGTGTATGTATTTTCCATTGAAATGACGAGATTGCAAAACTCGAACCTGTGGAGAAACATCGCAGCGTGTCTCTGCAGTAGTGCAGAATTTTCGGCCACGTGGGATGGGCCGTTCACAGTGCAGCAATGCACACTGTCACTGACACTGCGCCGTGTGTACGGCGCGATGTAGGGCCGACCAGACTGAATGTTTGCGGCGCTATGCACCAGGAGCTTGTAAAGTTCAAAATTTTTCGGGGCCCTCTATGCGGGCTCCGAACCCACGCCGTGGCTTCGCAGGTTGTTGTATCACAACAAAAATTCCCCCACAGGTTTGAAAAAATCCTGGGGAGAACAGCATGGTTCTCAACTTTGAGTACAGAAGAAATTTTATTAGAACAAGAGTACATTTTAACAAATGAAGGAAAATTCTTCTTAAAATTAAAATAAATTCTGCTTCAAAATTTCAGAGGAAGTGCCCAGTAATCGCCTCAGATTGCACCACAGAGCATCTAAAATCAGAAATGTTCCGGGGCCCTTAAGCGGGCCCCGAACCCCACGCCTATCGCCACCCCGCTGCTGTATGCCAATCATAGATTATCAGTTTGGAAACTGCATCTGCTATAGCTATTTGCATAAAATTTAAATATGCATAAGGCACTTCAAAAACCCATAGTTCAATGATAATTCCATTAGCTGTCTTAGAATTTGTTTTTGGAGAATTCGTTTGCTGAGAAAAAGTTATTGGACATGTTGGAAATTGTTTTAAACCTTTGTTCCAAGCTTGTTGGTAAAAGGAAATTGTATTCTTGAATTTTATATCTTCAACGCTGTGATTAGAAAGTCCACTGTTTTTGAGAAGTCAAGTAGCCTCCACTAATTTTAATTTGATTCCTTGCAAAGTTAAGGGTCGGAGAGTCACCTCTGTGCTGACGCCACCTGTTGTGTTTAGGGTTCACCACTTAATACGTCCCCCAATCAAGAAATCACTCCCTTTATTCCTGTACAAGCTGATTTACCCGATCATAGATCGGGTAGGGCGTAGTGTTGGGGATGAAAATGGGGGATATAGTTGGGGAGACATGCAGTTATAGAAAAGCAATTTATGTGGTGTGATCTGAGACAATTTCTGACCACTAAAACCAATTTGAGCAAAAGATCATCTTTTAAACTTTGGAGCTTGGAGTAATTGAATCAGCTACATGTATTCTGAGTAATGAGAATCATAATTGTAGGCTACAACATTTTTATTTGGGGAAGAAAACGTTTTTTTTTGGGGGGGGGGACCAAACAATGTCCCCCGCTTGAAAAAATGTGGTGGGGGGCGTTCCCCCTGTCCCCCGTCGATTTACGAACATGATAATTATGTACCATCTGACCATTGCAACTGTCTGTAAGTGTTCCCATTGGTCTGTGAAATTGGCATTTCGTGAGGCAGTCGCATTTGGAAAACGTAGTGAAAAGGTTACCGTAGTACACAGGCGAAGCCTGATTGTACAGTTTTGACAATAAATAATAATGCAATAAAACGTGAAGGTGTCATTTGAAATGAAAATGTTGAGTGTGACCATAAAATATGGAGGAAGGTCATAATTAAGTTTCAGTATTGGACTCTTCAACAAACGTTAACTTAAACTTCTTACAATTTGCGAGACCGTCTGGCGAGGAAAAAGTCGATTCAACTTTTATTCAAGTTGGTTCAACCATCTATAGAGCAAGTTTTACTCGGTCTCCGAGAAATGTTTGCTCCTGAAAGGATCCGAGACCGCGGTCTCCCGCGACGCCAAAATGGCTCCACGTCCATGGAAAAATGTGGAGGGTGTCTTCGCCGGGTCGGACACTTAAGTCTTTTTCGTCAATTTTTTTGTGACTGCGTTTAAGATCCCGATAAGTTGAAGCAATGCATCGATCCTTCGTTGATCCCAAACAGGCCCCCGAAATTATAACGCGACACTGAATTATACGTGGCGTGCAGCGAACTCACAACGCTCAACCTTGGTGGTTGAAGCGTGGAGCTGTAAACACATTATGGAAGCAACAGCACTCTATCACGCGACGTCACATGCTTGTGCTTCAAATAGCGAGCACCGTAGACTCAACCTCGTTTCCAGGGTGTGGAGCAGGCTGCAGTACGCGTTGCCATCGACGGTTTTACGCATAGCCGAGAAGTACCACGCAGTGTAGACTTTCGATTGGTCAGACCGCGCAAGGCATACTAATGTGTAGTCCTTCTGAGTATTCGTTGCACTTGGCGCAGGGGCGGCAAGCAAAGCACAGGAAAGAATAGGGACACTTAGTGGCCACGCACCATGGAGAAAAAATATTTTGCCAAGGTCACCACATGCTACCGTTTGGTGAACGCTTTGGCAGTACGGCCGAGTAGAACATGTAAACGAAACCCCTACGTTGACCTCGCTGACCTCGCACAGTCTAGACACGCAGAAAGGCCAGCACAGGGGGCGGCCAGGCAGTCAACGTGAAAGCGCACACGACGGCAAATTCCTGCGCAAAACGCAGTCACGAAAAATCGACGAAACGGATCGCCGGTCCGTACCGGAAAATCAGGACGACCCGAAGTGTCCGACCCGGCGGAAGACACCCTCCGCATTTTTCTACGGACGT